TTTATTTTACCTATGGAATAAATAATCTTTGACTTTGACTTTGACTCGATGAATATTCTATCGTCTATCGACTGAATATTGGTCACGCTTGTGGAATTAATAGCCAAACTTGAGTCATTTGAATCATCCTCGGCCCATTATTAATAATGCCGCCCGTAATGTAAACAATAAAAAAAGGTACCAACTGATTAGAAAAGTGACAGGTATCAAATGTCACGCGTGGCGACGATCAAGTAGTTAAAAAAGACGGACTATGAAATAATGTGATATCTGCGGATAAATAGGGTAAAAAAATATGATACCTATGTAATATAATATATTATGTAATAAAATAATGTGACTTCAGTAGTTACGTTGTAAAATAATGTGAATTACAGTAAATAATTCCACTTGGGTTCATAGTAAAATAATATGATAACTGGAGATGTTTAGTAAAAAAATTATGGCACCTAAAGTTATATTGTACAATAATGTGATACATGTGAATCATAGTAAATAATATCCATTTGTATTTATTGTAAATTAATAATAATAATATGATAGCTAATTATTTTTTATAATTATTCATAATATAATAATTATGACACCTGTAGTTACAATGTGAAATAATATGGTACATGTGAATCACAGTGAATAATGATTGAGCATAATTATAATAAAATAATATAATAATAGATAATAAATAAAGATAAAAGAGAATAACTTTGAAATATAGTCACTCCACCATACCCTGTGGAAATTACACGTGTGTTGGTAGCATACTCGTACCACTTAAAGTGGACAGCTATCAAATACTCTTGTTTGATTCCATTTTCTAATGTCTCCTTGTGTGCAATAAAGAATTTATTGTACAATTATAATTTATGAAGGGCCATACCTGTGCAATGCAGTGGCAAAAGTCCTCGTATTGCCGCTTGAGCATGTACTGTTGCCAGCTCGCCGTGAGGCCAGCTGGCAACGTCTTGAGAGTGTAACGAGCTCGCTCGCGTTCGCGGATTACTTCTTTGCTCTGTGAAAAATAATATATATATTACTAATCCCATTTAAATTTGAAGAAGATATTCCACCTCTAAGGGTGGCAATCTAGGGGACGAATCCCCTAACTGGCCGGTAACCGATTTCAATAAAACTTGGCAAATTTCTATGAAAAAAGAGTTTCTATTTAAATGCGCGAATCGATTATTTTATTTTAATATTTCATGAGACAATATTGTTGTAATAAAGATGGCTGCCATACCACTTCATAGACTTCTTCTTAGTAATCTAAATTTCATACTTACAGCTATACTATAAACGGGTAACATCTGTATATGCATGTTGGTGAGCATATGCTTCGCTTGAGCTGCTAAATGGTCACCACCAATTGCGGAGCGAAACGCCGCGTTTGTCAAAGCGTACCTGTCGATGGTATAATATTCTAAAAACATTTGCAAACTTCATAATATAGAGTGTCCCACGTCTTTGCGACACGGAGAGAAACAAAGAACAATAAATACAATAGAAGCGCTTAGTGTGCGGGGTACGTGTGCCAACAGTACGCGGTATCACGTCCTTGAGCTCAGTCCGCCATTTTCGTTTTGTACGTGTTAACTATCTCATATATAAAAACGTCGAAAATCGTTGAAAAATGCTTTCTTTTGCTACTTTGGAGTTCAAAAAGCAGATTGTTGCGTTTGTATCGATTCAAACGCGCGTAAAACGCGACAAAAACGCGCGCGAGAAGCGCGTTCGAAGCTCCTCTGTATCGCGTTGCTGGAGACTTTAGGATTGTATGTCGAAGACTACTTTTGTTGTGTTTTTTCGACCTTTTCACACTTCGTGTTCAGTGCAATGCATGCAAAATAAACACTCATAAATGAATAGTAATAGCTTATTAAGCGATTTCTGAAATCTATTTTAGGATATGTTTATAAAATGCAGTGTGCGTGCTTTTATATTTATATAGTTGCCTCATTTCATAAACGAATTGAAAATAAAAAACAAAGCTAAACTTAAAACTATATCTTATCAAAATGCGCGACAAATATGTGCGACTACAGCGCATCTGACATAGATGACGCGCGTTTACGGCACCACTGAATTTGTTAACATGTGCAAAGGTGTACTCGCTGCGACTGCATCGCGTTTAAATCGCGTTACCGTCGTCGTGTGCATAGACTCTTAGATTTAAAATACATTTAAGTACGTGGTAACATGCAAAACGTACCCATCAACAACAGGAACCGCAGAAGTCTGACTAGCACCAGCATCAACGACCAAAGCTGTACTCTTGCCGTTGGCAAACGCAGCTAACACTGCACTTTTGACAAGGAAAAAAGCCGGTGCCTGGTATTTCTCGAAGAGTAATTCTGCGAGTTTCTCTCGTGCGGGGCGCTGCGTCCAGACTGCTTCGGTAAATAAAGCTGGGTGGTGTTCCGATGGGGAACGGATTACCTGAAAATTTGGGACTATATTCCGTACCACTCGGAGCTTTAAATTACAAAGATCTGAGGGGCGCTGCCACTGCACCCGACACCCTGAGACTAGACTAAGTTGTCACTTTCACCAGCACCCTAGTTCTAAACCAGAACCTAGTATTGCTCACATTACTGCTTAGAGGCAGAAATAGGCAAGGTGGCAGTACTTCCCTGGACAAACGCTTTGAACTCTGATTTAAAACTCTTGAGTGACATTGCAATTGTTATGGACAGGAGAGTCGCTTACCACCAGGCGCACGACTTGTTCGTCCCGTCAATAGGTATTATAAAAAAAGCTGACTTTTGAACATTTTACTAAAAACCTTGGTAAGAGACCGGACTCCTCAGATCTCCAGGCGAATAGGTCTTATTTAGAATAATAATAATAATAAATATCTTTATTTATCTCCACAATACTGAACAAAAGATCATTACAGTATAGTTATTTTTGATATAAGTGCGGAAAGTTAGTCATTATTCACGAGTCTCGAGGCTTCTTGGCCCGAGCCAGAGGCGAGGGTCAAGACGCGAGACAAGTGAAAATGACAAATCCGCACGTGTATCAAACGACGTTTTTTAATACATTTGCGAAAAAACTACATTGAAAGTAAAATAAAACAGTATTTAAACAAAACTCATTTTCTGCTAGTAAATTAAAATAATGAAATACAACCACTGCAACCATTAGTTAAAAGTCTATGGAAATCTAGTTCTAACGTGCTGTTTTTGTTTATTTTCTGTAATATCGGTCTGTAACCACTTTTCTTATTATGAAGTCCTGGTAGTTTTATTTAAACTTCTTTAGGAAGCCGTGCACGGTAGTGAGATACAATTTATCTGTAATACATAGAACAAATAAATATATACATAAAAATCTCGCCTGTCACCCATTCAGGGGTAGGCAGAGACTGTGGACCTCCACTCGAAAAGTTCATTATATAGTATTTGTAAATAAATATAAGTTTTAATGACGAATGACTTATGTACGTCACAAAGCACATAAATATTAAATAAATATACAACTTCTTTAGTTCTATGTTTAAGACTTAAAACAACAGTAAATTAAAAAAAAACTGGAAAAGTAAAAAGCACTAGTGCGAGAAATCCAACTTTCCGCACGATTTGTAGTGCGAAAAATACCACGTTTTGAGCAACTGTATTAAAAAATGTATTGTGGCAGATTGGAGTCCAAAACTACTATTTAAATTGTATCCATACCTTAGCATAACAATAATCGAGCATCTTCTCAAATAAGTCCCAGTTATCAACCTGTCCGTCCTTCATGTACGTTTGCACTTCCATGCCCGGGCGTGGCACATGGAGTTCGGTGACATCGATGTAGTGTCGGAGCTCATTGCCAGTTTTGGCAGCTGCAATTTTGTATATTATGTTATTAGAAATAGAAAGGCGATTGTAACTGAATGGGATATGGTTGCTTTAATAAACGAAAAAAAATTGTGAATGTTTGCTAGCAATGTCTCCCGCTAAGGGCGTCTTCAAACTTGTAGAAGCGCTGCCACACATGGTGGGCTGAAAATCGGCTTTCATAGACTTAGGAATTTCAATTTGCAAGTGTCAGTTTTTTTGCCGAATATTGCTTCTTTTAGTTATTACATGTACAAATATGACACCCGAGTTGATTATGTTCAAAAACGAAGGAGTTATAATTTTTTTTCGAAAAATTTGTATGAAACTTGTATGAAAAATCGAATTATCTTTTAAACGGCAAGGAAAACCGTAATATCCTTATAGGTGGTTATGGTACTAATTATTTATGATTTTTGGGCATACTCCAGATAACGGTCATAAATGCCGTTTTTTTTAAGAAATCATCAAAATATTTTTATTTAATTTTACATGTGAAACAAAATGATTTAGTCTTTGAGTTGAGGAATACAAACTTTTTACAACACGTAACATAAAATACTATCACCCCTATATTCCCAAAGAGTAGGCAGAGGTTTACAGTACACCCACACTTAGACAAATATTGTTTAGTTTTATAATGAGTCTAAAAACAAGTGATTAAGTAAGTAATTCATATTACTTCCATTATTACTCAGTATTACTCCCATGAGGCTGACATAGTCACTCAAGGTGGCTAAAGCTTCAATAAAAAATAGATAAAAAAACCCTTTAATTTGAAGGCAGCCTAACATTGAATAAAATTATCATGAGGGAACCTGCATGTTGGGGACAGTTCACAAGCCTTAAAATCATATAAAGTCCGCAATGTTATCCCCTGATGGGCATACGAAGCTCCATACTGGGAAGGCACATGCCACAACCAGAGGACATAAAATTTGACAGACTCAGGAAAGTCCGTCAGTTTTTCAATGCTGTCGGCCTTGGCTCTGAAATTAATAGTGATCACAATAGATCAATGGATGGTCGCAGTGATGAGGGACTACACATGACTGGAATGAATCACACATTACCCTACTAATAATAATGCCCCGAATGAAGTCGAAAGGTAGTAACCTATTTGTTTGACCTACTGCCTCTCAAGCAGAGGGTTCGTGGGTTCGAATTCGGGCTCGCACGTCTGAGTTTCTCGGAATTATGTGCGAAATTTCATTTGAATTTAATCATGAGCTTTTAGGTGAAGGAAAGCATCATCATGAAACCTGCACATCGAAGAAGGTTCGCAACACTCGGAGAACGTGTGAAGCCCCCAACCCGCATTGGGCCAGGGTGGCAGACTACGGCCTAAAACCCTCGTCTGAAAGGAGATCCGTGCCCAGCAGTGAGACATATAAATGGGTTGACGATGATGACAATGAATGAAGTCACCCTAATAATAATAATATTAAGTCCCCAATTCCAATCTGGCAACAGATTTTATTTAGCTACATGGGCCTAAGAAGACCCGGTATTGTTGATTTTGCCGCAAGCTATGAAGGTGCTCTTTATTTATCTTGTTTTTAATGAGGTTTGTCACACATTAGTGTGTCAATGTCAGCATTGTGATGTCAATCCCTGTGGATTGTTCTACCCTGTCATGTCGCCTTGTAGTAAGAGGCAAGGTCTCACATATGAGTACAGAGTTTTAGCCCTCTGCATCAACAGATCACCCAGCACAACATTGAACTCCCCAACATGCCATATATTCCCTGATTGAAATTGGCTTCTTATAGCCAGAAGGTGCTCATAAATCTCACTTATTTCAGTGATATTCGTTTGAGGACAGTAACATTATATAATTCACTCTTTAAAAAATTTGTGATATATAGGGAAGCGTGGCAGTTGGGTTGTGGATTCCAAGGAGATACTAACTTGCTAATAATATCTGATGATTGCCTAAACATTTGAAACAAACACAAACTCAAGCCTAGGACTATCTATATTTAATATGTAATTAATTTCCAAGCTGTTAGCAATTATGATATGAACTTGGTGCTTATCGATGAATGCCGCAAATAAGTTATAAGGTAAGTACACATAAATGGTTACTGTACGGCTGGATCCCATGATGTTTCCGTGTTACTAATGATCATGAGTTCAGATCAAATCACAAGTAATAATGTGTGACTGTATAAAAACTTCTATTGCTGTATCTTTGTATGCTGAACATTTCTTAAACTTTTATGCTCTATACTCTGACTCCTTTAGGTTTATGGTTCTTATAATAAACACCTTTTTGATTAAGACACCAGACAGTTCTCTATACAGAGCATGCATAGAGACAGAAAGAGCTGTGAATGTTGAACTACAAGGCACAGGTGTAGCCAGCTACAGTGCGGAACGCTTCAGTATCAAGGTGCCTTCTCAAAGTGTTCAACAAACTCAAGAAGATCTATGATCTTTTGAGAGACATTCTGTGACAAGTAGATCCGTGGCTGCAATACACGTAGAAAATAGGCTCTTCAATGCACAAATGCGGTAACCAGCTTGCTACACCGTGCTTTACATAATTAACTGCTTATAAGAGCATTATTTTTTAATTGTATTGCTCATTTAAATGGTGAAAAAGATTCCTTAGGGGTTGCTTTTTTAAAACATGTTTATTTTTGCAAGACATTTTGAAGTAGGGCGTAATAGCAGTTACTAATAAACGGTTAATGATTTATTAAACGATTATCACTAGCTAGAACACTTATTAATTACAATTTTTTTTAAAAGCACCGGCAAAAATGCCGTCATAAGCATACGAGACGAAAGAATATTTAAAGAATTTATAACCTACCGCTTTGGGTGATATTGCCATCTGGAACCTTCTCTTCAGGATCTGGGATGTGTGTAGCTGGTCCAACGCCCACCACAGCAGGAATATCTGCCTTGGGAGTGTCTTCTTGAGCATAACCAACGCGCAAGGAATGATGCCCAGGATCGAACACTAGGGCACCAATTTCGTCACCCCCGTATAACATACCGTTCGGGCCACTCATGTTTCACAGATTTAAAAGATTTACAAAGAAGGTTTCGTGGTAAATACAAATATTTTTGTGACAATTTGAAAGAAATATGTTTTTGTTCAATGTCAAGTCACAAACAGCTATCGTGGAACGGAACGAAAGTGCGACCAAAACTTTTCAAAAGAATTGGTAATATGTTTAACATTGTCTGATTTTCGTTGAAATTGAGTAAAACATTCAACTAATAGTAAATTGACAGCAATATATTAAATATTTCTGATTGTGTTGGAATTGAATTTTATTAAATTGACATTATGCAGATACGGGTAATGGAATGCCGTTGTTTGTAACTATAGAGAATCGATTAAACCTTTTTTTAAAGTAGGGCGCGGACACTTTTTCTGCGGCTCGGGTTGGTGCATTGAGCATATAAATAAATACTCGATGAGTTGGTGTACATACTTACCCAAGTAATATTCTCCCTTTAAGTATGCTATTTTTGCTAAAGACAAGCGAATGCTCCACTATTAACCTAAGTCGCACACGAAAGTATTAAATACGGGAATTTGTAGTATTCGCGCGCTAAAAGTTTTCGAATTTAAAATGTTCAATTAAGATTGCCTTCTAAATTGATTTTTCTGAATAAACGTTGACGAAAATAAAAAGTAAATAAACTGTTTAAATTAATTCAAATGTTAAGAAATCAGGCCGGGGTTATACTTTTTACTACTTTTGCTTTTTGCCTATAGTCTCTTGAGTATTTCCTCCCGACGAGTGTTTGTATGGCAACCATATTTGAAAAATAAGGGGAACAAAAATATCGAAACTAACGTTCCTATTTTCAACCAGATACGAGATATTAAGTAAATGCAATGTTGTATTCGCCAACATGATTTTTTACGCAATTAGTTCGATAAATCTACTGGTTCGTTTGAATTGAGGACATTTTTAACATCATTTTTAAAATCGCAAGTGTAATAATTATTACAGGTCGTCTATAGTACATTATTGCAGAGGCCGGGAAGTAAGGGATTGCTGGACGAGTATGAGTTACACGGAAAGTATTTATGTGGTCTGTGATAGGAAATAATAAAATACAAAAGAGAGGAGAAATATGTAATAAAAAAGTAAAATAAAAATATTACAAGTAATACATACTTGACGTGTTACGACAATTGCTATAATATTTTTTTTATTTATTTACAAAGCATTGGCTTCAAAACCATCTGCTTAATGCTAATAAATAATCAAGAACCGCACAACGTAATATACATAAGCTAAAAATTAATTCGTATACAAAATGAAACTACTAAAACCCGCCATGTCATTTGCTAAAATAAAATATTATTGTTTTTCCAGGCACATTAATAGTAATCTGCTGAACTTCTGATGATGTGTTTGAATGTTGCTATTGCTGTATTTTCGTTATCGCTCTTCTCATTAGCACTCATTTTCGCGACCAAAATACAAAAAAGCGAAAAAACAAAAAAAATACCAAAACACTTTACTCTTAAGTGTTACCGCCATTTACTTTTTTTTTAAATAAGCGGTATAGGTAGGAACATGTTTCATTCTGCCAACTTGATTGTATGAGTTTTTGTTTTGCTTGTTCACATAGTTCATTATTATGAGGTAGATTTAAAGGTTTAGAGAAGAGGACAGTAATGGATTTTCATACTTTGCAGGCCTTGGTCGGGAAGAATTCGCATGGTCCATAAATGACAAACTTTCCGTGATCGTTTTTGGAAAGTAATGCAAACATTTCCGAACATGTTTAAGAAGGAGCAGAGGAAAAATTCCTAATCTTCGATTTGATTTTAGAGGGGTATATCCACTTTAAAGTTAAAAATAAAATATTGTATGAGTAACTACACGGTATATTCAAGCATAGACACTAATCAGAAACATAAAACAATAAAGTTTCCTCGATAGATAAAAATCACGAAATGACCTCTAATTTTCACATTTTTTCGATTCATCCTCGAAATGCTACAGGTTATTAGGACAAAAATTAGATAATTAATTATATTTATGCATGATCGAGAACTGTCACTACGGATTTTTTTTTAATCTCTTTAGTTTTAGAGTTATTCCGCTAAACCGAATTTGGTACTTTTAATGCGCAAAATTCAACATCTCCTGTCGCATGTCACGCGAACTTCAGGCATATATTTGTCTCATAAATGTGGGCGGAGCCAACGTCAAAACTTTTTTAGCATGCTCCCTCTTAAGAAAAAAACTTTTTCAAATTTTCTACATTCAGGCCGCTTCGTACTTTCTCACTATTATAATCGATTAGATTAATTATGATTAATAACAGACAACGTGTTTTCAGCACAATAATTTATTGAAACAGAAGAAATTTATGCGCAAACACAGTAAACTGCTACATAACACCGACGACACACAAATATTTTTTATTTTACTTTTTAATATAACAATAATTATTGCTGCTACGATCTATTGCGTATTATAATGTAACAACTGAGGCTTGAAAATTCTTTTAGACCAAACATTTTCATTTATCTTCTGGATTAATTTAAAATGAATGATTTGGAAATCTTTATACATAACTTGTATTTTTATCCTTAAAGGGCTAGAATAATATAAAAATATAGTTATCGTCGAAGATAAAGTTTTCCCCGGTAATTTAAATTAAAATTTTCAATAAGGACTTAAGGAAATGACGTTTAGTATACCAGTTTCAATCAATCAAGCATTGTTTAAGCTAAGGGCATTTAATATTGAAAATACAAGATAACTCGAATTGCGTGTTTTGGAGTGTATAACAAATTCATAGGATTCTTAAATAATTTAAGTTTGTTTCTACATACCGTCCTCTCCAAACTACATATCGTCTGTTTAAAGGTAAAACCACGTAAGTGACATTTTCCACAAAAAGCCTTTAATTTATATAGCTATGGTAAGAAAACGTGAAACTCGATAACAAAAAAGCTATAAACTTAACAATTTTATCTGCAGAAAGATGGTGAATTTTTTACAATTGGTACATAATTTGGAGTTTTTTTTTGTGGAAAATGTCACTTTTGTGGTTTAAGCATACGATATCTGCTGTGATTAGTAATTATCAAATATTTCGGAGCAACGTATGTTTGGATTCAGCTGTAGTGAGTACCAACAATCATGTTCTGTCAATGACTTTTATTCATCTAATTCGACTTAACTGGAGGCACCAAATACCAGTGTGTTATTACTTGGAGGAGATACTACATATATGTCTAGGATGGGCTTTCAACGACCTGTGATTTCCCATTTTGTCGTAACATTTTATTATCGTTGGATGACTGTCGATCGCGTCTAGCCTGTTCCCATAACACGACTGTCTGTCGTGACTGTGTCGTGGACGCTTATTTTATCGTTGAACGACTGTCGTGTCTAGCTGTTCACGCCTTGTTGTTTGCTCGACAGAATTGTTTGAAACTGTGATTATCTGTCGTCACATTTTTATCGTGACGTAAAACGTCATAGTCGTTTATAATCGGACGACTGTCGTTCTAGCTCTTCTCAATGTCACGACAGTCTGTCGTTGCAATATCAAAACAGTCGTGAACGACAGTTAATCATGTTGTACTATATCGCACTGTTTATAGTATAGTGTATTAATTAAAAAAGTGTGTTTTCTCAGAATCGACGAAAAACGAATTACTCGCTTCCCCTGAAACATCTGTGTATAGGTTATGTATGGGTTATTTCCTACTTGACAAATGTACATACTAATTTGAAAATAAAAGAGAAAAAATAATTTCCTATTTTTGAATAAGGACTATTTTGGCCAGAACTAGCTCACATGAAGCGTGTCTTATTTTGAGTTAAGTATATCTTTTAGTTGTTTTTTACAATATTCTAACGAAGATTTTACTGACGTGTAGAGAATCAAATTTTACGTTCAGTAATGGTATAACCTTGAATTTCACATGTTTTGAGTTATAACACTATTGTAATAGCAGTGCGACATGTGAACAATTTTATTTAAATATACAAGCCTCTGTATGCGAGACTAGCAGTATCTCGCATTTTATGTCGCTCTCGCTCTAGTCGCGCCATATCGTGCTAGCCGTACTACACTACTATTTGTCGTCACGACATAATGGGAACGCGGTCTTCCGGGCCACGCCACTCTCGGCTTGCGACTACGTCGGCGTAGTACCAGGCGGCGCGGGTACGGAACACGCTCGTAAAGACAATGTCAAGCATGCAGCTTCATTCGTATCACGCGTCTTGTAAGTTGTTCGAGTATTGCACAGCAATTGTTTCGGAAGAACAGGTCGTGGAAAGCCGCTCTATCTCGATAGCGCCAGTGTCAGGACACTACGGAAGGGAAAGAGGGAGACTTATTGGCCGATCAAAATCGAACGGAAAATTTTGCTTTACGGTTAGATGAAAAAAAAATTTCATAGTAAATCTACGAGGTTGTACATTTTACAAGACAATAAGGTACACGATACAAGGCAATGCAAATGTTGTAATAGTATAAAAAAGAGAGCTGACGTTGCAAAATCGTGCAGTAAATTTTGAAAGTTTTCACCTTCATTTTATCTTTCAAGCTTTTAAGAATTTCAGAATATTTTTTTTAATTATTTTTACTTTGTATCTAGCTTCACGATGTGCATTTGTGCAATATGAGCCTTATACACGTACAGTGATACGAGAGAAAATGTCTAAGGAAAAATGTAAAAGCGCCCTGTGTTTATAAAACAAAATTTACTGCACCATAGATACGATAGCAAAGGTCATAGGAACCATTAAAAGGCTTTTGTATAATCATAAGTACGTTTTCTCTTAACGATAAAAGTACATATTAATAATTCCACTATTATTTAGTATAAAACACACAGTACGAAATTACATCTAAATATAATATAAATTACTTGTATTTTGCTAACAACTAAACCTACCACATTTATGTAAAATTACAATGTCAAAAAGGTATCATTGACTCTTACAAAAAGGCGCGTAAATTTATCAGCGTGACCTGATTAAAATATTTTCGCTTGTGGGAAATGTATTCGTCA